ACCCTAACCCTAAAGCCCTAAACTCCAAACCCTAAACCCCAAACCCTAAACCCCAAACCCTAAACCCCAAACCCTAAACCCTAACCTTAAATCCTAAACCCCAAACCCTAAACCCTAAACCTGAAACCCTAAAGACCCTATACCCTAATAGCCCTAACGTGCAACCCCCTGGCGGTGGCGACTGGTTGGGATGAGGCCGGGACGCGGGGTGCCTGGGATGGGGGCTCTGTTGAGTCATGCTGGCCGGGGGCTTCGGCCCTGAGCGTCTTGACTCGACGGGCCCTCTGGGTTTTGTTCAGGGTTGGTTTGGGCAGGTCTGTTGTGCCCCCCGCTCACCCCGGACTGCGGTCTGGAGTGTCGGGAGCACGACAGTCTGCCCCCCAGGAGGCTGCGCTCGCCCCGGGTTTCGGCCTGGAGCGACCAGTCTCTGCCCCCACCCCCAAACCCCCCTCATCGCTTGCACCGGCAGGCCCGCCCGCGCCCGCAGCGGCCGCAGCAGCCTGGCGGCGTGGACGAGGCTGGGTGACTTGGCTGGGGGCCTGTTGAGTCTTGCTCGCCCGGGGTTTCGGCCCTGAGCGACTTGCCTCGACGGGTCCTCTTGTGCCTTGGCTTTGGCGGTTCTGTTGCATTCCCCGGTCACCCCGGGCTGCGGTCTGGAGTGTCGGGAGTGCGACAGTCTGCCCCCCACGAGGCTGCGCTCACCCCGGCCTTCGGTCTGGAGTGACCAGTCTCATTAAAAAAAACTTCTTACCCTAAGCCGAATTCGGCCTCTGGCAGGCCGGCATGGCTCCTGGATCCGGCTGGCAAAGGCGGATCGGTTCAGAGTTCAGTGTGCCGTTAATAAGACAATTGCTTAGGCTGGAGTCAAAGGGTGCAGGATTTGGCCATGTCCGATATGTTCTTGCCGTGGCTTTATCCCTCAATTTTAAATCGTAGTCTAAATCCTCGAAATCACGACGCCCTCAATGCTGCTACAGTGCTGTTGCGTTTGTGCGATCCTCCTGGCTTGAACATTGCTTGTGACGTTTATCCCTGCACCCTTGACATCGCGAACTCATGATGGATTTGAGATCCATGTTGCTGCTATGTGGTGCAGGGCGGATGCTCCCCTTCGCTCCATTGCGCCGGCGCTGCTGCTCCGCGCAGAAGGTGCCCATGTAGGTTTATTCAAGTTTGGGGTTCAGGGCTTACCGGCTCCGGGTGCGGGGTTTGGGTTCGAGTTCAGGGGTTCAGGGTCAGTTCAAAAGTCGCGATTGAGGTCCAGGGTTTAAGGGTTTTGGGTTCAGGGGCGAGGGCTATATTTATTTCGGGTGAAGCAATGGAGCCCCGAACAGCCGACACTTGTGAACCCCTCAACCCCCGCGCCCGCTCCCCGAACGCCGAAGCCCAAACCCCGACCCAGCAAGCTCTCGCCCGCGACCGTGGCCCAGAGACACATGTCCATATTGTTGTCATTGCGATTACTCATTCTGAGTGTCAGAACTCACCTGGCATCCAGCCTAAATTACTTGAAACTTTGTAGACTCTTGAGATCATACTGCACAG